TCGTGTATTTATCGAACGTCTCGATCGGACCCATAAAGAGCTGCTCAGACAGGGGTCGCACCAGTTGTGGGCTTTCGGTAATGGGTTGGAAGAACAGGTAGTGTTTGCCCCTCACCTCCAGTCCCTTCCCGTCGACACCTAATTCGTCGATATTAAAGCTACCGCCGGCCCCAAAGTGGTCCAGTCGTCGGTGAACCATAAGCTCGACCGCTCCTTCCAGTAGTGATGAGCCTCCCTGTGTCCGGTCGTTTAGGACAGTCATCTGTAAGCCTAATGGATAATTCAGATAAAATAAATTAAACTGTAATTTATATTTTAATTTCTTTAATAATTGTTTTATTTGTACATACTAGTATATATAAAACTGGAGTTGTTTAGAACAATTAATTAATTGATTTTAAAATTATTATAATCTATTAATTTAATATAAGTTATTGAATATTTGTTATAAAATTTTAGTAATATACAATGTTTCAATTAGAATTATACTATTTTATAATTAACGACTATTAATATTATATATGAATAAAATTTATTTGAAAGTTTAATAAATAAACTGTATATAAAATTTTAGATATAAACATAATAATAAAAATAATTAATATAAATAATGTAATGGTGCTACTTCCCCTCAAGTTCATTTATGCTTTGATCGTAATTGTAAATTATAATTCATTATATTTTCTAAGCTAGATTTTTATTTATTTTACTTAAAATTATTTTATTTATATTTAACCTGCCATTAATTAATTTTCCATTTATAACTTACATGTTTATTCATTATAATTACATAATTATGTTTAGATTTAAATATAACACATACAATTAAATTCAAATTAACACTTACCATGCTGTTTGTCCTGAACCGATATCTGTTTATAAATAGGGAACCAATTGCCGGATATGACTTTCCCAAAACAGGCCGTACTTTTCGGGTCGTACTTCCGGTGTATAGACTGTCGCCCATTAGAGTCCGTGTAATACTCGCCATTGGTTTTCAAGTCAGACTCAAAGCGGGTTATAATCTCTTTGCCCACTTTGTCCTCAAAAGGTATGGCACCCACTGTCCAGTCAAACTCAATGTAGTCCTGGTCCTCATACGTGCGTACAGTTTGGTGGATAAAGTTAGCAAACTCTTGGTTCAGCTCATGTACCCCACCGTCCGTATGCCGGGAGACCAGCTTTTGTTGGCCGTAGTCCCGGGCGTTACCGTCGGGACAGAAGTCATAGCTACCCGAGTCTGATAGTCGGGGTCCCTTATCCCAGGCTTTATACCATTTGAATGATTGTTTCAGGGTATGTTTAGTGCCGTTTAGAGTTATGGATTGTATGGCACCGGTAGTCTCGTCCACTTGCAGTGTAAATGATTTGCCTTTCATTTCAATGGGTGCCCGACGGGTACGGGTTAGGGCAGCCATTAGTGGGCCTGTTATCACAAAAAAACAGGAAATATGTATAAATTTATTGTTAATAGTTTATTATCTATATTTTGTTTAGTTTTGTAAATACTGTTAATTAATTGTATAAATTGTTTTAATAAAGGCAATCCGATTTATTAAAGATTGTTATTTGATTAATAACGTAAAACTTGAACTGTAATCTAAATGAATTTTAACATTCTATATAACTTTTATAATTTTAAAAATAAATGTCTGGCTCTGAGACAAGTACTACTATTTATTTATATTAATATAGTTTTAATACTGTAAGTTAATTTTAGTCTAACATATTGTTAGATCATTATCTAATTGCACATTTTAAAAAGGTTTTTAAAAATTATTAATATTAAATAATATACATTCAAAACTTTTATTTGTAATTTGATTTGTGATTGTTATATTTTGGGTATTAAAAAGTTTTGAATATTAATTACTATTGCATTTGTGAATGTGCCATCAATGGTAACTTATAACCACTTTATAATTAGTTTAAATTAAAACAATAAACAATACATACTTTTATCGCTTTTCTGTTTCTCAACGAAAAATGTGGTGAATCCGAGGCCCGGTAGTTGTCCGTTGAAAATCAATTCATGAGTTCCGGGACTGCCTTTCCTTTCGGGAAGTTGTCGCACAGCGTCCGACACCGGGAGTAAAGCCTTTGTCTTAACTTCAGTACCGTTGGCATCGACTACAGTGTACTTCCCGTCGACCACCGGAACCCTAATATACTGACTGACGGGTCGGGCGATGGGGTTATAGACAGTGACAGCAATCCTGTCGTTAGTCTCCGTTAGACTGCAATCCGTTATATTCAGTGAATCGCAGAAAACTTCGCTTAAAACCGCTTTTTTCTCGTCCTTTGACTTCAAATACTCGAAAGCCTTTTGAATGACTC